CCAGTGCATTTCCACTGCCTGTTTACCTGCTGGGCAAGCCTGGGGAAGCTTCTAAGAACAGTGCAGATCAGCTGTGAGGCGGGGAGGGGCTGGAGCGGAGATGGCAAAATGGCCACCCGCTGTGTTTTGGCCTGGATTCCTCACTTACTGGGCAGCGAAAATGGCGGCCGCATGGAGGATTTTTGCATAAAGGTGAGTTTTTTGCCCATAGGAACGCATTAAAGGGGTTTTAATGCATTCCTATGGGCTTTTTTATTTCGCATAGCGACGAATACATATAGCGACGATTTTGGCTGCACGGATTATCATTGCTATGCGGGGTACCACTGTATAAACAAAAAGAGTGGAATAGCAAAATAGTCTGCATTTCCCATGATAAGAATCGATAAGAATCTTAGGTTTTAAATGCAGAGAGCCCATATTTAAAGGCGTTCCTCTTTAATGAAGAGTTTTCCAAAATATACCTCAATAATTTCATCTCATTTTCTCTCTCGATAATGGCCACGGAACTGTCTGAGGCGTTTAATACAGCTCTCCATCTTGTTAACAACACCTTCTTTCTAAAGCTGCTTTTAAAATTCTAGCTCCAGAGACTGAAAATACTGACAGAAGACCCAGAACACTTTATTTTAGGACAAGGAACTGCCATAAGATAGATGGTTATCCTGTTAATAGAAACACCAAGGCCATTTGCCCAGAAACAAATTAAGTGAGACAGCTTACGGATATGCAGTCAAGGGAAGGAGCCAAGCACTTCTGTTAAAGCTTTCTGGAAGATTCCAGACAACAGCCCAACAGCTCTAATATGAAGCCACAAAACAACCTTAGTGGCCAAATGAATCACCGGCACAGCACAGATCAGAACATGGGCCTTAAGGATCTGGCCCCGAAGTCAAAAACATTATGCAACAGGAGGGAGGCAAAAATTTATCAAAATATATGGACCACTCTACTAGAGTTGTTCAGGAATTTACTAGTTGACATGAGATTACGAAATCTGCTAGGCTGACGACACCTTACACACACTTTATTTCCCTTTCCCTTCCCCCTTCTTTGATGTATGTTCCTACCCAGTTGTGACTATGAAAACCATATACAGTTGACCCCCTTAACCACAGGACCAGTATCCACTGATTCACTTATCCATGGTCTGAAACTATTAAAAATATTAAAGAAAAAAATTCTAGGAAAAAAAGTTATTCTCACATGCATTACCATACCTAGCCACTAGAGGGAGCCAGCAATTGTGCTATACTTCTTAGCAAAGGATACACAGCACAATCTCTGACTCCCTCTAGTGGCTAGGTATGGTAATGCATGTGAAAAAAATCTGGTTATTTTTGCTTTTACCATTATATATATATCCAGTAAACTACATCAGCTTCCTAGGCTAGATGTACATTGAAGTGGGATTATCAAATACCATGGGGAAGGGAAAAGTTATGGAGAAAAGGATGGGCTAATATCAAAGATGGACATGATTTTTCTTGTATCTTGAAAAAAACCTTATTCAAATGTTCAATCTAAGAAAAATGGAAGAAAACTGCTCCTAAATCCAATACGGTCACATGAAATCATTTCTTTAAGAATTTGATTATGTTATTTTAAACCTTTAACAAAAGAGAAATTTCTCTCAGCTCAGTAACAGAAGACGTAGAGAAGTACAGAAACTTCTAAGAGTAAAGTTTCTGTTTTGCGTTTGTAGCAGAGAAAAGCACCCAAACTAATTAGAGAGTTTGCCTTATCTATATATAGCAGGCCTTATAGGTTTTCAAAGACTTTGCCATGATAATCTATTTCTCTACGATAAAACTAGAAAGAGGAAAGAAAAGAGACAGATTTTTGTCTGTTCCACTCCTAAGATGATACTACCTTTCTATCTGAAGGGTGTTTTTCCATACAGGAAAACATCCATTCCAGTTCCCATGTCATAATTCTACCACCATAGCCTACAGCATGCATTTGTTGTTTAGCTGTTAAGTCGTGTCTGACTCTTCGTGACCCCATGGACCAGAGCACGCCAGGCCCTCCTGTCTTGGGTAGAGTGGGAGGCATATAAGTTAAATAAATAAATAAATAAATAAAATTTATGTTGGTCGCTTCGATGACCCTGTCCAGCCATCTTGTCCTCTGTCGTCCCCACAGCATGCATTAATCAAGCCAAATATAACATGTTATGTCATGTTATGACATCAGAACAACCCACGAACCCCCAGGATGCTATAGGAGGGTCACCCCATGGTGTGTGGAGCAAGAATGGGAAAAGCCTGATTTTTGTGTCATCCTTGTGACCTGGCAGATGCAAGAACTCACAGACATGGGCAAAAGATGTTGGCTATTTTTGGCAGCAGCACTCCGGGAAATGTCTCCTGTTCTGATCACGAAAACATTCAGGGACAACTTCAGTTCATGCGAACCAGACTTATGACAACAGATACTGCTGTGAGTTTGGATGACTCATTCCCCATGGGGTACCTGGCAAAACACAAGACTTCCCTTAAGGCAGTAGAGAGTCCATTTGATCTTAAGGAGAGACTCCCTGTGAAAGCAATTCATCAATATTTGCAACCCCTAAGTCGATGTTTGCTGCCAGACAAGGAGGGTCACAATATGCAGAGGACGTGATAGTGTGTTATCCTTCACATCTGTCCTTTCTACATCTGACTGCCTTTCAAACTTCTACGCTTCAGTAGAAAGAAGTGAAAATGTATAGGACAGCAGCCTTATTTGGGTTGGGTTGATTGGAAATAGGAGCAATGCCATTAAGCTCAAGGGACTACAGATCTTATTACGCCGTCCAAAAAAAGGGGGGAGAATTTCAAAGTGTTAGACCAGAGAGCGTTCAAGACCTGTTCTCCTTCATCTTGTCTCATGAGGGGGGGAAAGGAAGCTTCTGCTATCTGTGGAGTCTCTTCATGCAACTGGGGATCCTGAAAGATCAGTGCTCCTGAGGGACACATGCATGAGTTCCAGATGGAACAGATCAGATCCTCTCTCCAAACTGTCCGTCATGTGGAGACAGCAATAAAGTTAGACGGGATCATGAATAGGACTCTCTCCCTGCTCAAGCTCTGTAATCGGACCTTTTCTGAATGCTTGAGTAGAGCTTGTATTTCCCCGAGCAAACCTGCAGATTTGTTGTTATCATTAAAGCCCAAGGAGGCAAGATTTCTGATCACAGGAAATCAGTAAATTGCATTCCAGTTGCAGTTGTTTAGTCATTAAGTCATGTCCGACTCTTTGTGACCCCATGGACCAGAGCACGCCAGGCCCTCCTGTCTTCCACTGCCTCCCGGAATTGGGTCAAATTCATGTTGGTTGCTTTGCAGACACTGTCCAGCCATCTCATCCTCTGTCGTCCCCTTCTCCTCTTGCCGTCACACTTTCCTAACATCAAGGAGTCTTCCCTTCTCATGAGATGGCCAAAGTACTGGAGCCTCAGCTTCAGGATCTGTCCTTCCAGTGAGCACTCAGGGTTGATTTCCTTCAGAATGGATAGGTTTGTTCTCTTTGCAGTCCTGGGGACTCTCAAAAGTCTCCTCCAGCACCACAGTTCAAAAGTATCAATTCAGTTCAAAAGCTCTTATCAAATCTTCACCTAGTAGGTATCCTTCAGTCTCGAGAGACTATGGTAACATACTCGGTATTGAGCTCTTGGAACAGCATCTAGTGTGGCTGAGAAGGCCAATTCGGGAGTGACAATCCCTTCCACACTGAACACAAATGCAATCTGTCCCTTGTCCAGCTCCCTGATTTTGCTGGTTTCAGGACTGCCTCTTTGCCTCGGCCTGCTGGACAAGTGTCTCTTCAAATTGAGAGAGGCCGTGATGCACCGCCTGCCTCCAGGCTGAACACTCAGATGTCAAGGTTTCCCATCTGTTGAGGTCCATTCCTAAGGCCTTCAAATACCTCTTGTAGATATCCTTGTATTGCAGTTGTGGTCTCCCTCTGGGCTGATTTCCCTGCACTAATTCTCCATACAGGAGATCCTTTGGAATCTGACTATCAGCCATTCTCACGACGTGCCCAAGCCAACATAGACGTCGCTGTTTCAGTAATGTATACATGCTGAAAATTCCAGCTCATTCTAGGACTACTCTATTTGGAACTTTGTCCTGCCAGGCAATGCCAAAAGTGCATCAGAGACAACGCATATGGAATGTGTTCAGCTTCCTCTCCTGCCGTGCACAAAGGGTCCAGGACTCGCTGCAGTACAGGAGTATTCCTATACCTCACACTAAAATCAGGCACAAAGGAAGGCTGGAAGGGGAGGAGCTGCATGTAGGTGCCAACCCCCTGACACTGTGGTCCTCCTTCTCTGTCCACAGAATGCTTCAAGGCAATTTGACCTCTGCCTCAATCTTCTCAAGCAGTGGTTCCCAACCTTGAGTCCCCAGATGTTCTTGGACTAAAACTTCCAGAAATCCTAGCCAGCACAGCTAGTGGTGAAGGCTCCTGAGAGTTTAGGGATTGTTCTAATTTCCCTTTAGAACAGCATATGGGAATCCAAGGTTGGGAACCACTGTTCTAAAGGGAAATTAGTTGCTAGGCCAGCCTTTCCTAATCTGATTCTCTCCACGTGTTCTGGTCTTCATGCTCCATCTATCCCAGCCAACCAGGCCTCTGGTCAGGAATACTGAATAGACCACCTCAAAGAAAACTAGACAAATAATATACCAGTTGTCTGGCATGGAGGAAAACCAACTAAGTAAACATGCCTGCCAAATCTTACCTAGAATATCAAAATGGAGATAATACAGGCATATTGTAAGTGAAGACCTTGAGCATTGGGAACAAGTGAGAGCATCTTCTAGAGGTCCCCCAGGGTCTGAGAAAGATGCACCTGCCCTGTGATGCCTCTATGCTTCCCATATAATGATATTAATAAAGCATCAGCAAGTATCGAGGTAGCTAGGTAGCAAGGTTGAACCTGGGGAGGTGCATACAATGCTCAGGCTCCACCCAGTATCTTTGAGATCTCCTTTTGGGCAAATGGGCTGGGGTTTCTAGAAACCAAAGGCCGACCATCTGGAATGGATCTAGAGACTGGATCTGAAAGAAACCTTGAGCGCTGCCTGGAGGCTGTTCAGCAATGGATGCAGGAAAATGAACTGAAGCTGAATCTGGGCAAGACAGAGGTCCTTCGGGTGGGTGTCCCAGACATCAGTGGTCTGAGGAAATTCCTCTCTTTTAGGGGGAGTGACTCTTACCACCAAGAGTGAGGTCTGCAGTTTGGACCCAGTGCTCACCATGGAGACCCAGGTGTCATCAGTGGTCCATTCCACACATTTCCGCCTTTGGCAGATTGCCCAGCTGCATCCCTATCTGGATGTGGGGGCACTTACCACTTTGGTCCATGCACTCGTAGTCTCGAGATTAGACTACTGTAATGGGCTCTACATGGGACTGCCTTTGAGACTGATGTGGAAATTTCAGATGGTGGAGAATGCGGCAGCCGGACGTCTTACTGGGGTGAAAAGCTACCACCATATTTCCCCCACTCTGGCCTCTTTGCATTGGCTGCCCATTCATTTCTGCATTGATTTCAAAGTTCTAACGATGACATATAAAGCCCTATGGTTTAGGACCTCGATATCTGGCAGAGCGCCTTCTCCCACCCAGTTCTGCCAGAGTCACTCGTTCCAGCCAGGTCAGGTGGCTGAGGGGCCTAATGCTGAGAGAGGTCCGGAAGGAAAGAATGAGGAACCAGGCCTTCTTGGCCTTTGGAACAAGGAAAGAATGAGGAACCAGGCCTTCTCAGCCTTTGGAACAACTTGGGTGTTTTCAGGAACAAACTTTAAAAACCTGGTTATTTGGGCTGGCTTTCCCTCCTGCCATATCCTAATTTCTTATACTTTTGCCATCTTGGATCTATAATATATGCTTATTGGTTTTATTGTTTTTAACTTTGTAAACCGCCCAGAGTAGATCTTTGGTCTAGATGGGCGGGATAAAAATCAAATCAAATCAAATCAAATCAAATCAAATCAAATCAAATCAAATCAAATCAAATCAAATCAAATCAAATCAAATCAAATCAAATAATCAATCAATCAATCAATCAATCAATCCACAAACAAACAAACAAACAAACAAATAAATAAATAAATAAATAAAATATGAAGACTTACTCCGTTTGTATTTCGGGATCCTCGTGGTAAGAGTGGCACATGGCACTGAACCGAGAGACAAAGAAATCGTAGCGCCGGTGGTACGAAGGCGTGTCTTCTTCAATGTTTGCGAACTTCACAAACTAGTGAAACCAGGAGGGGGTGGGGAAGAAAAAAGCCACCAGAGTTGTGCATCATCTGCTGTAACATTTTAAGGAAAACAAGACTGAGCTCAAAACACGCTTCCCTTGCCCAGCCACCGACAGCCAGCACAGCATGCGTTCGATTGCTGGGCTTAAGACAACAAAAACCAATATCCAAATTTGTTTCTCTGGTGCTCAAAAGGAAGCCTATGTGTCCATGCTCAAAAGGAATAGCTCTGTTATTACCCATCACCCTGGGGGGTGGGGGTTGGGACAAAAAAAGAAGACCATGTGTGGCACCCCGAATTCTATGGCGGAAGAACAAGACTCAAAAGACACATTTGCAACTCAATGGCCTAAATCAGGGGTGTCCAATCTTTCACATTCCCTGAGCCACATTAGAAGATGAAAATTTGTTTTGGGCCACACATAAATTTGGTTTGGGCCGCATGGGGGGGCAGCCCTAGCCGTCCTCCACAGCCCCGCTCCAAGCGCGCTTACCGGCAGCTGCGATATCAGACAGCAGAGGCTGCCAGCTTCAACTCCGGCAGCATTATGGGGCCGGGAGGGGGTCCACCTATTGACGGGGATGGCGCAATGCAGTCACACAGCCCCCCTCTCCCCTCCCCTCCCGCTCCTTCCTTCCTTCACTCTCCCCGCCCCCACTGTTGTGACGTTCCCCAGCCGCATTCCAGCCGCAAGTGCCAGCAGTGTAACTTGAAACTTTGGAATTTCTTTAAAAATAAAAAATTGCACTGGGCAGCATTATGAGCCAACCTGGGCCGCATGCAGCCCTCGGGCCGCAGGTTGGACAAGCCTGGCCTAAATCCTTTTGCTTAGTTACGCAAAAGGTGTAATTTTTGGAGGTGAACTGCTTCAAGTTAATAAACCTTATCAGTTGCACACTGAGCAGCACGATTCAATATGTAACAATTAAGATCTGCGGAGATTTCTTAAAGAGCAGCGACTAGCCTCCAAAAATTACACCTTTTACATAACTCAATAAGAGGATTTCGGCAAATCCAAAACACCTTTATGTGGCGGCACTCTTAATCAGAAAAGTAATTTTAACAGTTATATTTGCTTTATACTGTAATGCCACACAGTTACACCTTCTATACGGGGGAAAGGAATCAGGTACAAGAGCTAGTTGTTTGTATGCAATTTATCTGCGGTTCTGCTACATCTTTTAATTCATGAGTTAAAATCAAGACTTTTCGAAACTATCAAAAACTAACCCTGAACTAACCTATTGTGGAAAACCACCGCTGCCGTTATTTCTAAAAAGCAATTCACAATAAATGCCACACATATTTATAGCTGCTACTGCCGCTACTGCTCCATTCAGCACATGCCATTTTAATTTGTGGCTTAATTAAACTGATTTTACTCACAGAGTTGGTTCCCAGAACTTGTAGTTTTGGCTCCCCAGACTCCAGCAGCTTAGCCACCATATGAAGAAAACTTTCCACAAATGGCTTAATGCTCTGAGAATGGCAAGCCATCAAAAGCTGGTCCAGGGCCTCCATGGCGATAAAGACATATCTGAAAGAACAGAGAAGTCAAGAACTTCAGAATATAATACTTTTCCTTCCTTCCTTCCTTCCTTCCTTCCTTCCTTCCTTCCTTCCTTCCTTCCTTCCTTTATTCCATCCATCCATCCATCCATCCATCCATCCATCCATCCATCCATCCATCAATCCATCCATCCAATATTCATATGCCTATTCCATCCATCCATCCATCCATCCATCCATCCATCCATCCATCCATCCATCCATCCATCCATCCAATATTTATATGCCAACTTTCTCCTGAACAATCCAAGACATCTTACAAGCATTTAGAAGAAACGAAGTTGAAAGCCAAATAATAAATTATTGCAATATTAAAAATGCATTAAACAAATATCACAGTAAAACTCGTAATAAGAACACTATTAATAACACGAGTAAAGAATAAAATAAAATGCTCCTTTAAAAAAAAATCCCCTTGGCCAACTGGCTGTTTTAAGGAAAAGCCTGACTCAAGAGAAAGGTCTTTGCCTGCTTGCAGAAGGACAGCAAAGATGGGGCCAGCCTGGCTTCCTGTGGGAGGGAGTTCCAGAGTCTAGGAGGAGCAACAGAGAAGGCCCTCTCCTGTGTCCCCACCAACTGCACCTGTGAGGGCAGTGGGACCAAGAGAAAGGTCTCTTCTGATGAGCTTACATTATATCACCAGGTGAGCTTTTATGGTCAAAAGCTCCAAAGAGCAACTAGTGCTGGTATCAAATTTTGCAACGAGAGACTGTGGACTACATTACTGCCATGCTTCCAAACCAAGTATTCTGTATTTGGTCCCACCCAGAGGAAGGGCTGCCTCTTCCATCTTCCTGGACTGATACTTCACACATATAAACATGCCCTTGTCTTGTCCTCACCTACAAGGTTGAGAAATTATCTACATTCTTCTCCTTCATGGTCAGGAAGGGAAGCAACCTTTGACCCTCTTAGTATAGATCACCCACTATCTATTGCCATTTTATACTGGTCATGTTTCTGTGTATGTGCTTTGCATCTAGAAGGAAAGGACACAAGAGGCATGTTTTTGAGGTTGACTTGATGTTGGATTTCAATCACCTTTGGGACCCTTGCAGCTCTAGAATGCTACGTTTCCATGTTATGCAAATGATTGAGATCTTGAAGGGGGAAAAAAGCTCCTTGTCTCACTCCCATGTGGAAGTGGATAATTTTTCTGGACTTTAAAGCAACTTGTAAAAATATCTCATTGAGCTGGAACAGCCTAAGTCAACCATAAGAAATGATCATAGAATTGTAGAATTGAGTTGGAAGGGGCCTATAAGGCCATCAAGACCAACCTTCTGCTCGATGCAAGAATCAAAAGTAAAGTGTATCTGACAGATGATTGTCTAATTTCATCTTGACTGCCTCCAGCTTGGAAGCACTCATCACCTCCCAAGGTCATTGGTTCCATTGTTGTACTGCTCTAACAGTGGATAGGTTTTTCCTGCTATTCAACCAAAATCAAGCTTCTTATAACTTGAGCCCATTATGACATATACTGTACATTGGGATGACTGATAAATGCATTCCTCCATTCCTAGCTTGCCACACTGCTGCAATGGCACAGCTTGTACCAGGATACTTGGTATGTAGCCCAGTTTCTCAGAGAATTGTTCAGTCATCATTATTTAAGACTGCAACCTCACACAAAAATAGGTAGTTTAGGTGGAAGCCCCACGGAACTCAATGAGACTTCCTTCTGTTTTAAAATGCATAATAACTATATTGTAAATGATGTACAAGATAGAATACCACAATGCATATCCATACCTTCATTGATGAAGTAATAAGAAATTGATAACTACAAAAGCTCTAATTCGACTGAAGCCAATCACACTTAACTATCATTTAAATCTATAGAACAAGTTGCATCACTAAAATTGTTACATTCTTTTGAAATCATGCTTTATGTCTCAGTCTACTCTAATGCTAACTTACTCGTTGCATTAAATTTAACAAGGCTTACTCCCTGGAAGGGCTGCCTCAGAAGTTAGGATATTTGGGTTCTTGCTAGAATCACAGCAACCTATTGTCATAGTTGTCATAGTGAAAACGGCTACTTGGGCCCAATTTGGACCTTGTCAGGGGTGTACTCACTTGTTGCCAGCGGTTTAGACATGAATGGCTGTGTCTTGTGTTATTTTGAGGGGACAGCACATTTACACTGTTATACAAGCTGTATACTCACTGCTTTACGTTGTAGCCAAGTGTCATTTCTTCAGTGCTGTCCCATGAAAAGATACACTAAAATATATTATTTTATGAAATTATTTATGAAATGTGAGTGAGTGTATTCACTTCCGTGATATATAGTGGTGCCTCGCATTACGACGTTAATTCGTTCCAGCGAAATCGCTGTAGAAAGAAAACGTCATAATGCGAAAAGAAAAAGCCCATTGAAACCCATTAAAACCCATTTAATGTGTTCCAAAGGGCTTGAAACTCACTGTCCAGCGAAGATCCTCCATAGGGCAGCCATTTTCGCTGCCTGTGCAGCAAGGAATCCGTCCCAGAAAACAGTGGGGGCCATTTTATTTACCCGGTGGCCATTTTGAAACCACTGATCAGCTGTCGGAAAATCATTGTTTTGCAAAGAATCGGTTCCCGAAGCAGGGAACCAATCATCGCAAAGCGAAATTCCCCCATAGGAAACATCGTTTTGCGATCACAAAAACTTCGTCGTAATGCGGTTTCGTCGTTAAATGGGGCAACTGTAAAGCGAGGCACCACTGTACTGTAAAAGCTGTGAAATGCCCTTCTACAAGAAGCTCGTCAGCCCCCGCCCCCCTTTCCTACTATCTTTCCATTGACAGGCAAAGACCCTTTGATTCCAGCAAGTTTTGATTCACAGCTGACTCAGTGATGTCTTTTCCTGTTGTAATTATTTAACTGTATCAATAACTCATTACATTTTACCAGAATCCATTAAGTTCCATTTTGAGGAGAAAGGAGAGATATCTCCAAAGCAAACAAATAAATAAATTCGCATAGTGACTCATATAATAATCCAATTATTGGCTGAAATCCATAGCTAAACCTAGAGCAGAGCAGATCCGCTACATTAATGGAACTTCTATAAGTGCTTGATTTGCTGAGTTCCCACGGAAGCCATGGGGTTTTCCTCTAACTGAAACTAACAACTAGATTCAGGCAAAAAAAAATGTATCAAGATATATTTAATACATGTTTTAAAATAAAATGCATATAGAAATGCATGGTTTGGAAGAAAATGCATTGAAATCCATATTTAACTGCAAATTTTGAAGAGTGTTTTTTAAAGGAAACATTGATGCAGGTTAAGCAACTGTTCATTCTACTTCATAAATAACTGTTTCATCAAACAAATACAGTGGTGCCTCACTTTACGATCGTCCTATGATCATAGAATTGTAGAATTGAGTTGGAAGGGGCCTATAAGGCCATCAAGACCAACCTTCTGCTCAATGCAAGAATCGAAAGTAAAGTGTATCTGACGGATCATTGTCTAATTTCATCTTGACTGCCTCCAGCTTTGAAGCACTCATCACCTACCAAGGTCATGTGTTCCACTGTCGTACTGCTCTAACAGTTAATAGGTTTTTCCTGATATTCAACCAAAATCAAGCTTCGGTTTCAAAATGGCCGCCGGGTAAATAAAATGGCTCCCTGCTGTTTTCTGGGACGGATTCCTCGCAAGACAGCTACCGAAAATGGCCGCCCTATGGAGGATCTTCACTGGACGGTGAGTTTCCAGCCCATTGGAACACATTGAAGGGGTTTCAATGCGTTTCAATGGGCTTTTTATTTTCACATTACGACGTTTTCATTCTACAGCAATTTCGCTGGAACGAATTAACGTCGTAATGCGAGGCACCACTGTATCTAAGAGCCTCGCCTTCTGGTCTGGTGACTCAGTCAGAAGCAAATTAAAAAATTCAGGAGCAGGAGGAGGGAAATAAGACGCTTTCTTACCCATATCGGTGTCTAACAACATCCCGGCTCAATCGCTCTGCTAAATAAGTTCCAATGCGATCTAGCTTCTCCGGTGCAGAAACAGCATAGAAAGTCAGCTTCTCCATATCTGCTTTAACGAGCCCATCCTAATCAGGAACACAATTATTACTCAAGGGTTCATTCTCGCCTAGTTAACACAGACTAACCACTCTAGGGGTGCAAATGTCTGTCGCTACTTTTAAAGAATAACTTAGTGAAAGCAATGTCAACAGTGGTAACTGAAGTGGCAGGAATAATTCACTCTTCATGATCCTGAATCTAGGGCTGGGTAAATGAAAATTGTTCTCCCACACACCCACAAAAACCACCCTCTGATCTGAGCCACTTTCTATCCTCTGGCTTAAACTACCTCACAGGGTTAGAAAAATGAAGAAAAATGAAGGAGACACGTATGCTATCTTGAGTCCATTGAGTAGAGAGCAAAGTATAACGACTTTACAAGAAAGAAGGTTGGTTTATTATTTTGCTTTTGTTTTCAGATGAAGTTTGCGTACATGCCTTTACGACACACATTTAGGAGAATATTTAAAATGCTTTCACGCAGATGGTGAGTTTCAACCCAAACAAAGTATTTGTCAGGAACCATCAAACAAGCAAAATAAATAAATAAATAAAAATAATTGAAATCCCTACAGGGTCAAATTACATCACGCAATAGTAGCATAGGGAAATGATCTCTGCTGAAAAGTACTTCGGACAAATAAAAAACCGAGCATCCATCTTTAGGAAGACCAAGGACAAAATTTAATGGGATTTACAGAATCCCAGTAGCTTAGAATTAAATGCACTGGCAGTGTAAATTTATAGTCAAAAGCGTAAGAATTTAGAGTGCTGGGATTTTTATGGATGAACTGTGCCTTTTCAAATTGATACGAATGTAGGCTGTATCTATATTATACATCTATGGCCTTTTGATTAGCCTTTAACTGCCATGGCTCCATCCTCTGGAATTCTGGGATTTGTAGTTTCGGTAAATACTTGGGGCAGTGTATACGCTGGAACAACAATACAATGCTGTTTATCCTCCATACATCTCTTGTGCAAGATATTACAAACCCAACCTCCCTCAACAGAAAGGGCATTTAGATTTTTTTTTTAAAAAAACCCACCACAAAATAAAGCAAATGACAGAAATTAATAACAGTATTATTACAGATTGCCATTCATTGGCTGACAAATAATTATTTCAAAGAGCAGATTCCATCGATCTGCATTTTTCAAGGGTATTATTTTGTGTGTGTCTTCCCTTTCTATATTTCATCACAGTAAAAGACAAAGGTTCCCCTTGACATTTAGTCCAGTCGTATCCGACTCGATGGCGCGGTGCTCATCCCCGTTTCCAAGCCGCAGAGCCAGCGTTTGTCCAAAGACAGTTTCCATGGTCACGTGGCCAGCGCGACTACACAAGGAATGCCATGACCTTCCCACCGAGGTGGTACCTATTTATCGCCTGATATTTTTACGTGCTTTTCCAACGGCTAGGTTGGCAGGAGCTGGGACAAGCGACGGAGGACCACTCCGTCATGTGAATTTGATCTTTCGACTTGTGGTCTTCTGACCTTGCAGCACAGAGGCTTCTGCGGTTTAACCCACAGCACCACCACGTCCCTATCGCAGTTCATCGCAGCAGCTAGCATAAAAGAATAAAGCCAGTA